ATTCCATGAATGCATTTTATTTTTTTATTGTATTTCATAGCTGGATGATGAAGCTTGGTTATACTCATTGCATGCTGCCTCTCTCGATGAAGGGGAGCCTTAAAATATTTTAATGATAATGATGCTCAGAATGCTGACTCCACTATCCTACCCTCACCATTTTCCTCCAGTCAGTAATTGCTTCAAGGGACGATGTTTCTGTGCCCCCTGAAAGTCTTTTGCCAGGCCCTCAAGTTGTCTGTACCAAAGGTTGTTGTCAGCATCTTATCACACTCCTGTATGCCCAAGAATCAGAACATGGGTGAAGACTACATATGACTGGCTGTAAGTGGGCAGTGATGAAGTGCAGAGTCTGAAGCCTTCTATTACCCTGACACTGGGTGCTCCAGCCATCACCAATTAAGATATCCCGTGGGGACTGTAATACCTCACTGTGCAAACAGTGCATATTGCAACCCCATGGGCCTCTGTAGTTTATGGTCAGATCCTTTATAGATACCTTATACATCACAACAATGGGCATTGTGCTATAAGAACATCATTGCCTTGCTTATCTCTTATTTATTCATCTTTAGAACATCATAGTAGTGCCTGTCTCTAGCAAATGAAGAATGTTTATTGATGTTATCTGTGCATATAGTGTTACATTGTGTAATTGTTGTTATTTAATTATTTTGTAATTAAGGACACCTGTCCATGGGGTCCCTGTTGGTAGATGCTAGGCCACCTGGTGTCAGAGGTAATGGGAGACTGCAAATTGTGTTGATGTGCTTATATAGCAACATACAGCTCTGACAGTGTTATCCTTGTAGGGATGAACAGTGCTGCTACTGTGCATTTTCTAACTTGTTTTGAATGGTAACAATAACCTGCGTAATGTCTCCTTAGTAGCTTAATTAAAGGGGGAATGAGGGGAGGCATTCATTGATGGGGTATTGTGATCTTAGCAAGGGCAGCTGTGGGATTTTAAAACAATAGCATATTTACTTAATCGTGGTTTTTAATAGTAAATTGTTTTCCATTTCCATGTCTAGCCATATGCATATGGGGACAAAAACTCTCATTTTCCGCCTTACTAACCAAGCTGTCACCAAGAAGCTGTTCTGGCTTCAGGCAACCAATCAGCGTATTCTGCTGCCTGGAGCCCGGATGTGCCCAAAGAGAACAAAAGGTCTGGAAAACTGTCTGGCTGGAAAGCAGGTCAGCAGTAGGAATGGGAATGCAGGCAGGACAGCAAAGGCCATTTCCATACACTGAAGTGGGGGACACTTTTTTGGTGCTAAAGGGAAGGGTACAAACTAGAGGCTAAGACAATAGGTACAAGGAGAAGAGGACTGATTAACATGATTAGGCAGATGTAACTCAATATTTATTCAACAAGGAATGTTGAGGCTAGGCTGCATCTTATCCTTGGAACCACTCATGGAGATCTGAAATACTCTTGATGCTCTTCAATACTGTAAGCAAAATTAATCATACAGGCCTGGTCTGCTTGCAACAACTCAGTCTGTTTTTAAAACCCTCGGTTCTTGTGAATGAAACATCCTACTAGTCAAAGTGGCTTGCTTGCATTCACTGCCAGCACCACTGCCTATACAAATTAAGGATGCTCCATCCCTGGATTTTTTAGTATAATGTCCAAACACTGAATGTGGGCTTATCCCTTCCCTTAGTTTTTCTTGTCCCTGGCTTCTAACTCTGACTTAACTGGGGAGAGACCTGAGCTTCAGGTACAGGTATCTCACTAAACAACCAAAGGACAAGGTGTCTGTGGCTTGTTTGGCTTTTCATGGTGGCCGGGCGGCAGTTGGCTCATTCACACCTGGGGTTTAAAAAACCCTGGCTTCCAATTGTACATGAACCAAGTCTTACAGTGTAATTCTATATGTATCACTCAGAAGTAAGACTCATTGAGTTAAATGAGACTTACTCTGTGGTGAGTATGGATTACAATTTAGGTGGCTTGGGACTGCTCCCTTGTGCAAAGAGGCATTAATCACCTCTCAACCCAGCTGGCTGGTTTTTATAAGCCAAAAGGGGCAAGAATCCAATACAGAAGTGGCTACTTGAAGTTGCCCAAGCACCTTCTCAACGTATTCAAGCTGTACCAACTTAAACTAATCCCACAAAATCGAACCATGTTGGACAGTGTTCTAGGAAGTGGATCAGGTAAGGGTGCTCAGCATCCTTCACCTGTTTTCTGTCACCTGAATCTAAGTCTGGCAAATGGAAGAGATTTTATCTTGGAAGTGCATTGCAAACACAGAGATAATGCTGTTTTTTGCCACTTTAACTGTGGCTTAGCATGCTTGTATACAGTCACCACCATTCAGTTACGTCCACTATTATGCCTTGGAGCTGTATGAGCTCTACTGCAAAAAGGGCTCTCAGGAGCAATTTTAATAGGTCCTCTACGCTTGCAGGGCAAGAAAGCTGTTGTCATCCTAGACCTTAATAGTTGAAATGACTGTGACAAAGGGACCAATGCAAAGTCCCCTACTTCCAGATCACTATCTCTGTGCCTAACTGAAAAAAATCAAGCCTAGAGTGTGCCTTGATGACATTTGGGATAGCCCCTTGTCATGGAAGCCATGAAATCCCAAGTCACCGCAGAAATCTAGTAAGTACTTCATAGCAGCTGCAGAGTGCTGAAAGTGTTAATTTTAGCTTGTGTTCCACAGTGCTAAAAATGACTTTTGTCAAAGTATTTTTCCCTCCTGCCACCAAACTTGGTAGGATGGTAAGCACCAGATTGTTGCTCACTCATACATGTAAAAACTGTACATATTTCTTGATTTCAGGCAATTTAATTTTAGTAATATTCCTTCCTAATAGGAAATTATTGGGGTAAGTATAAGTCTCCAGAAAGCACTCTTATCATAAATATCCTTCATCACCTACATTCAGATCCTGGAAGACCTGATTAAGTGTTCTACAATGTTAAAAGCAAGATAATTAACCCCAAACATTTTTCATTAAGAGAACCCAATGCCATTAGGTTGTGTAGGGAAAGCACCGAGCATTCTTATAGTAGGGACTTGTGCAGGTCCACAGAATGACCCAGTGCAGCCTTTGCTAAGCCAGTGGCCTTCTAGCATGCTGACTGGAACTGATGGCAGTGACAATGCAGTTCACTTGGGAGAGGCCAGATTGGGGCATGCTGTTCCAGAGGCACATGATGCAGCTGTGTTGCGAAAGGGTCAGAAGGAGTGTACATGGGTATGTGTCAAATTATTCAACTAGTGGAATGGAAGAATTTTGCTTTAATGGGACATTCTGCTGAAATTTTGCTTTAACCTGGCAGTTGTCACTCTACACATGCAACCTTATTATTCAGGGTAGGATAGCTATGCAATGCATCTGTTCCTGTTAGAGATCAACTGATCCTATTAGAGATCAACAATAGTTGGTATTGATGAAGTCCAAGTTTTTGTTATCATGACGGTGTAAACTGGTGTCCTGCAACAGCAGGGGGTTGGACCTGATGGCCTTCATGGCCCCTTCCAACTCTACTATTCCATGATTTTATGATTTCCTTTTTCTTCCTCTAAACAACCTTGTACAAGCAGCACTGAAGGATTAAAATGCATATATCTAAGGAATGACAGCCTCTTGGTTCGTGTCTTGAGCCCTCAAAAAAGTAGTCACTTCAAGCCTTTCATTAGAATATATTCTAATAATTTGTATTAGCTGGATATGGGGGATGGGGGTTGATTTGTTTTGCTGGTAGGAGTACAGAAAGCATTGAGCAAATGGGAAAAGCTCTATTTTTTGGCTTCTAAGCAAGCAAACATTCCAAATCCTGTATGGATAATAGTAGCAAACAGTGGGAAATTGAGTTAATACCAGGGCATTTGTGTAAGTGAATGCTTGAAACAGGCAAGCTGCATTGTTCTTTAACTCTACTAATGCTGGAACAGATGGGAAGCGAAGGCCACTTCACGCATTAGCTGGCGCAGATAAAGAGCAAAGCAAAGAAGGGCCCTTGTGGGTGATTAGAGGTTAACAGGAATAGAAACCAGCAGACTGACTCCTGATTTGCAGGAGGTGTTCTGGGAAAGGAGCAGATGGCAAGAAGAACGTCCCTGCAGCTTATTCAGCTGCTCAGAGAAGTTTATGGCAACCTCTAATACAAACAAGCCTACTTAGAGCCTCTCATTTTAAAGGCTCTCCATGAATTTCTTTCTGCCAGGATCACAGCAGTTCACCTAAATCTGTAGATGTGGGCGTTTCCTCCTCCCTTTGGTCCATGTGCCTGTGCAGGCTGCAAACAGCCATTTAATTTTTAAAGAATAGTATATGATGCCTGTTTGGCTTTCTGTTGTGTTTTGATGGTCAAACAATGCTTTCTAACTTGGTTTCATCTTTTGTTTGTTTGGTTAGACTTGTGGTGATCAGGCTTTGCCCCACGAACAAGATGCACTGCTTGTTTGTTGTGCTTTTACTCATCTAGCCGTAAATAACCGGGGGGGGGGGTGGGGGGGAGTAGAAGCAAGAGAGAAAATGTGCGAAGTTAATGAAGTGCCTGCTGTGTCAGCATTCTTCCTGCAGAAAATTTGACCACTCTTGCCAGGGTGGAGAGGGAACCTCCCTATCAGGTCTCCCTGGTTGCTGGTCCTTGGCATGTATTGAGCATCCATCATGAAAATAAATTGCTTTTGAAGGAAGCACAAGTATTGAGAGGAGCATCATCTTCTGTAATAGGATATGTGTGTGTGTGTGTGTGTGTGTGTGTGTGAGAGAGAGAGAGAGAGAGAGAGAGAGAGAGAGAGAGAG